TATCTTAAGATTGTTTAGATAGGTTTCTTATAACTTATCTTTTCCAAACAATCTTGTAAAATCTGTATTGATCTTCTTTATCAATATATATTTTAAATTTGAAAATTATGTTTGTATTCATCTCCCCCTTCTACAAACTGTTTAGTATTCTTGTAGACCCTTTGGGACCAACTGTATTCCTTGTTTCCGTTCAATTTGTGCTACATTTTGACAAATAGTCTAACTCTTCCCTAAGTATTTGGAAGAACAGAACTCAGCCTTAACCAACCTCAATAAAATGTATGCAGTAGCGAGCAAGACTACACTTGAACCACAAAAGAGAAATAACATCATCAATTCCCATTCCTTTTTAGACAATTATGGACATTGTTACTCCAGCATAGCATGGCTCTTCACCTGTAAATCATATCAAAGAAATCACTCACTAACAAGTGTTTGTACATGCATTACCTCCCCAAAAACTTGTGCAACATGTACGTACCTCTGTCATCAAAGATGATTGAAATAATATGAGTAGGAATACTCATCTCGACCACCAAGTTCTCCAAGCACAACTATCATTTTTATCTATATTTGACCAGAAGAATATGTCAAAGAAAAGGGCATACATATTTGAATGTTGATAGATTATAATCTACACAACAATACTAACTAAAAAGAGAACCTTTGACATTGCAGTTTTTTATGGATGGAATTAGTAACAGATATACCTGTGGGATGTTGTTGAACCGCAAAACGTGATCAGAAAGAGTAGAATCGGGAAAAACATCTCCTCCAATAGCTATACATACAAATTCCCAAGTTTATACCCACAAAGACAATAGGCTACATTTTGTGTGGTACATCGTGATAACCAGTTTATAACCACAGTTGTTATACATGAGAACTGTTGTACCAACGGTTTATTATCAACTGTGTAACATGTTTGTGGTACCATGTGGTGTGGTACATTGTGGTATGTAACCAATTAGAACTACTTGTGCATGGTAATGTATCACATGAAACAAAACAGTTATTGGTACCACATGAAATCACATTTGTAATACATGAGAACTGTGCTACCGACTGTTATGATCAGCTTTGTAACATGTTTGTGGTACCCTGTGGTGTGGTACATTGTGGTACCCTGACAGTGTTTGTGTTTTCTTAGGCAACCATGTAGTTGTACTTGAGAATGTACATATGAAACAAAGCTGGATACAAGGATTCTATAAGGGCAAAGATGAATTCGATCTTAGCACAGAAACAAAGCGCTGAGATGACTATAGACAAGGCCATATCAGATTTCCCGTTGGATTGAGACTTGAGGATAATGAGCAGGGAGCTACAAAGCATGTTTGGACAAGAAGATACTTCTACAGGAGATGTTGTCAACAATGAAACTCAAATTCAGTTGTTTGAAACACCAACGAGAACTGCGAAGGTGCCAGAGAAAAGGATGAAGAAGGATGCACATCAAGATACTGTCTTTTATTTACAACATTACCCCAAACATGATTATAACATTGATACATACAAAGACATTGCAGGTTCTAATACAATAAACTACATCTAAAATTTACACATCTAAAATTGCAGGTATTAAAGAATTCCAGAGTAATAACAATAAGA